TTTTAATTTTAAATGGCTAAATTTCACTTTTCTGAAAGACATTACTTTGTCTTCTTGAAAGAGTATCATAATAAAGCAAAACAGAACCCAAGTTTCCTCTTCACCTGTCTATTTTTTAAGAGCTCAGGACCTCACAGAGTAAGGAAAACTACAAGGAAAGGCATTTATTGCTTAGTTTCATGGAAGCACCTGATAAGGCCCTTTAGAACCTGTGTCACTTGTGGGTACAGGGTACAGATCTAGTGCAGTCCTGCCTCTGTGGGGTTCATCAACCATTGGCTGTTTTGTCATGGTGTTTTTTCTGTGGATTGTGTCATGGGTGCCAATTAGTAGCTAAGACCATGTAGCAGGCCTCCACCTTTACAAGTAGAGATAATAAGCATGTGTCACTAGCTAGCATATAATCATAAATATGTTTCTTGAGGTGGGATCAGCCTGGTTTATTAATAACACCCCAAACTCTCCCAACACATTACTCTTCTTTGTTCCTCCCTATAATCTAAATAATGCGTCCATCAAGGTACAACAAAAGGGTTTCTACCAAATACAAGGACAGAACTAAGTAAAGTAGAATGTTTTCTTTCTCCAAACTTCTTAAACTGCTAAGATTAGCATATGTCTGTGATCTCAGTACTCAAGAGAATTGCCGTAAGGCTAGTCTGGGCTATATTGCTGAATTCAAAACAAAAATAACTCAAAATAGGCCGGGCAGTTGTGGCACACATCTTTAATTCCTGCACTCGGGAGCCAGAGGCAAATAGATCTTTGAGTTTGAGGTCAGCCTGGTCTATATAGATAGAGCTCCCAAGACAGCCAGGGCTACACAGAGAAACCCTGTTTTGAAAAAAAACAAAAACTGACAAAGTAAATGGATAAAATTCCTATACTGGGTTTGACAAAATCTTGTCATAGTGAATCCTGTCACTTTGGGTTAGAAGCCCCTTTGAAGTTTCCTCTTAGTAATTTTCCATGTACAAATATCAACATTACCTCTCGACTGTATATACCCACTTGTCTTGTTGGAGTCATTTAGGTCCTAATCTCTGTGTCCCACTGCAAAACCTGGTTGCTGAGGTTCCTGTTGCCATGACCTTGCCTTTGAATGGTCTGTCTTAACATGCTTTTAGAAATTAAAATCTTTGTCATCTTGCATGCCTTACTTCTTTGGCACTAGTTTTGCTCCCTGGTTGTTGTGTAAAAATTTTATGTTAAAGGAAGCTGTCCACTACATCAATGAGAAAAAATAAAACTGATATTCACAAACATCTTAAAAACTTATCTTGCGGATTAATTTCTTAGCCTTCCTAAGAGGCAGCGCAGTGGTGAGACTTACACAGCAGCTCTTATTCTGAAGCCCAATGCCCAACAGACTTTAAGGAACAGAAAAGTACACAAGGGACCTGACACAGGTCTTAAAGGTCTGACAAGCCTACATTGTGGGTCAGCCACAGAGGATCCCTAAATAATGTGTTCAGAAGTTCAAAGAGGTGCCTTGCTTTGCCAGGCTGTAAGCATTCCCAACAAGATTTGACAATTTTGAATGAAGGAAAAGAAAATCTTTGTGGTGTATGTGAAGGGATCACACATAAAGGGCAGTTTGAGACCGAATTTCCCAAATTGAGACCAACTACCTTCATAGTTTTGCCTCAAGGTCTAGTTACATGTTACCTGTGTGTTTAGTCAGTATGTGAAGGTTAGGAAAAATAAAACTGATAAGGTGTTAGCCTTGTGGTAGAGAGCACTTGCCTAGCACTGCCCCAAAATTATTTCAATATATTTTTCAGCTTTTAATATTTCTGTATCCTTGACTTCCCTTGACCTCATGGCAATCCTTCCGTGTCAGCCTCCTAGGTGCTAGGATTAGAGGCATGAGCCAGCCTACCAGTTAACCTTTACACACTGGTTCTTCCTATGTTGCCCAGGTTAGACCAATTTGTTGAGCTCAAAGGAGCCTTCTGCCTGAGCCTTCCAAGTAACTAAAACTACTGGCAAGTGCCAGTTACCTGCCTTTAAAAATTGTATATTTACCTATTCATGGGTTCTTTTTCAACTTCCGTGATAGGACTGGGATCCAGGGCTTCATGAATGCTTGGCAAGTACTCTCCCGGAGTTACACTCTGGTCCTCTGACACTTGAGTAAAGTATTGGCCAAAGGTTGTGGCCTGAGTAGTGCAGTACTGTTAACTTAGACTGTCTAGAGAAACTACATCCATTCCAAAAGAACATTGTTCTTTGAGGTTTTTGGGGGGACAGGCTTTCTCTGTGTAGCCTTTGTTCTCCTGGAACTCACTCTGTAGACAAGGCTGGCCTTGAACTCAGACATCCAATTGCTTCTGCCTCCTCAAGTGCTAGGGTTACAGGTGTGTGCCACTGAGCGTGGCTTGGGGAACTGATGTTTTAAGACAACATATTCTTTTCAGACATACCCCAAACACTTTTTAAGTGAGAAATCAAACACTATAAAATCCACTCTTTTGAAGGCAACTGATTCTTACAGGCATTTTGATATTTATTGTAGGAAAAGACTGGAAAAGGTGCTTCACTTACCTAGAATAGCTTTTACTATTTTTACTTATATTTTGGCCTGTCTTGGAGGAATTAAGGCAGTAATAATACATTTGCATAAATAAAATTGGAAGACAGATAGTTAATGTAAGGAATGTGAGCTGGGCCTGGTTGTAGATCCTGTAATTACAGTACTGACAAGGCTAAGGCAGAAGATCTAGCCTAGTCTACATTACAGGACTCTGTCTCAAAAGACCAAGGAGGTAGGCATAGTAGTATATGCCTATAGAGAAACCCTATCGAGAGTGGGAGGAGAGAGAGAGAGAGACCCTGTCTCCAAAAACAAGGCAGGAAGAAAAAAAGGAACGAAAAGGAGTGTGACAGGTATACGATTTATTCTTCATTGTAGGGAAGATGTGGTCTTTTTTGCTGCCTCCAACTGCCAAGTAGCTAGGACTATAGGGGCAGCTGCCATTATACTGTACTCAGCTTTAGAATTTTCTCAGTAGAAAAAAAAAAGTCTACTCTTGCTTCCCATAAGGGAACTTTGGCCAGATCCTCAGTGTTCAGCTCTGCTTCCTATCTCAATAGTAGTAGCTTAGTAGGAGGAGCTCATAGTCCTAAGTATGACACAAAGACTCAGAGGAGAGGAAAGAAATCAAAGAAGTTTGGTTTTATTTTGACCCTTTTCCATTTCCCTTTCTGCTTGAGTTGCATTTAGGTCCTTGGGTGCCAAGAGAGGATGTTTGTAGGACACCTGGCTGGTCTATGCTACAGATCTACCTTTCACAGCCTAGAAAGTTGCCTCTTTGACATGGAGCTCCCTCTCCATCCCATCTCAACTTCAAATTGGGGATTTTTGGGTTTTGTTTGTTTTTTGCTATCTATTGCCAATAAATAACACTCTGTATAACCTTTAAGTTTTTTAAGCTGCTGTTATCACACTTGTTTCTTTTGGAGTGCTAGGGATCAAAACTCGGGTCTCAGGCTCGGGAAGCTTTCAGTCTCCAGCCCCATATATTGGAAGTAAAGGTCGTAGAGACTGTAAGATCCTCTTGGGGCCTCCTGCCTTCGCTCTCAACCAGCTGTCATTTTGATGCCTCTGCAAGCTCTTAGCCCCTGTACAAGTCCCTCCTCATAGGGTACACTGTTTTCTCTCATCAATTTCACATCTTCAGAGGCCCCGATTCAAATTCACAAATGGGCAAAACTTGCAAGTTATCAATACAGTGTCTTTTGTCAACACAACCAACTATATACCTTTCTAGGTGCAATGCAGAGGTGATAAGGTAAGGGAACAAAGCCACACTTTTAAAAGAAAGAGAAAACGACTTCCACAGTTGGAAAGATGATTCATCTACTATGATCATTGCTACTCTTCAAGAGGACCCAGGTTCAATCCCCAGCACCCACTTGGTAGTTCACAACCATCCATAACTCTAGGTCCAGAGGAACGTAGGCCCTCTTCTGGCCTCAGCAGAGAACAGGCACGTGTGTGATACACAGACATACATGCAATCAAAACCCCATACACATAAAATAAGAATATAAGCTGGGCAGTTGTGGAGCACACCTTTAACCCCAGCACTGAGAAGGCAGAGGCAGGTGGATCTCTGTGAGTTCCAGGCAGCGTAGTCTGCAGATCCGAGTTCCAGGATAGCCAAGGCTACAGAAAAAAAACCAAAAAATAAATTTTCATTTTTTTGGTGGTGTCTTTTTTTGTTGTTGTTTCTCTGTAGTCCTGGCTATCCTGGAACTGGTAGACCAGGCTGTCCTCAAAGATCTGCCTGCCTTCCAGTACTGGCATTAAAGGTATGCTTCCCTTCTCCACTGCCCTGTAAATAAATCTTTTTTTTTTTTTTTTTTTTTTTTTTTGGTAACAGGGTTTCTTGGGGCTGGAGAAATGGCTCAGTGGTTAAGAGCACTGTCTGCTCTTCCAAAGGACCAGGGTTCAATTCCCAGCACCCACATGGCAGCTCACAACTATAACACCAGTGTGAAGATCTGATACCTTCACACTAATACACATACAATAATTTTTAAAAAAGTTACTTTTTAACAGCTCTGAGTACTATGTCACCACACTGAGCAAATAAATATTTTAAAAAACAAAGGAAAGGGGGCAGTTGGTGCATGCATTTAATCCTAGCACTGGGAGGCAGATGCATCTCTGAGTTCAAGACCAGCCTGGTCTACACAGTGAGATCCAGGACAGCCATGTCTTGAAAAACCAAAATAAACAAAAAACCAAACTTCTAGTTGTTGGCTAACTACCTGCTTTGAACATTGTTATGAACCAGAATATCATGCATGTTATCTGGAGTCAGAAGTCAAGTTCAAATCCTACTTTTTTCCTTTACCAGCTATTCTATAACCCTGAATAAATAAGTCCTGAGTCTCAAGTTTATTTATATCTGAAAGGGGGTGGGGCCAATCCCCATGAAGTTGTTAAGACTTAACGGAGTATATGAAGTGCCCAATACAATCCAGAACACACAAGTTCAACTACAGTAAGCTGTGTGTAAGTATTGCTATTTGAACTCTTGCTAAGTCTATGCTGCCCTTTCCTTGTCTCACTTTTTGCCTATTATAAGCAATCACTCACATGCTTACCCAATGCAGGTGTCAAATAAATGCACTAGAGGACAGACATAAAGGCATGCAGACTTGTGGAAGAAACCAGCCAACACCAGTTCAAAGGGATAATTTCACTGGCAGTTTTATGTTCCAGAATGTGGAGTGAGAAAAAGTTACACCTCAGGAAAATTCCCAGTGCCCTTAGAGAATCCTGGCTCACCTGCTCTGCCCTATAATGTCCTGTTTATCTGTCTGGACAAAGGAGTAGACACCTTCAGCTTGGGAAGAACCTTCATTCTGCTACCCAGTAGGAGTGATGAGATGCCTTCAACCTTCTCTGTGGTCATCTAACAATGGTAAGAGCAGGCCTGGCATCCGTTCGTGTTCCCCAGATGTTAATTTTTGGGACCAAGTACAAATTCTTTGGGTGGTCCACCACCACCACTGCTCTGTCTCTCTATTGTCTGGGAGCCAGAAAGGGGCTGCACCCCTAAAATGGAGCTAGCCTCTGGATCTGGTTTGCTGCGTTTGGCCAGGTCCTCATTGTGAGCCTTGCGGATGTGGCGGTAGAGGTCCCCTGACTGTGTGTAGCTTCGTAAACAATAGCGGCACTCATAGGGTCGCTCACGTGTGTGTACTGTGGCATGTCGCCGGAGTGTGTAAGAACATGAGAAGGTCTTTCCACATGTCTTGCAGGTGGGAACATCCTCTGTAAAACCCCCAAAGCTCCCTGGGGCTGCTTCATACTCAGATGGCGGGTAAAGTGTTTCATGCAGGGCTGGTGGTGCAGGCAGGGGTGAGGTCACCAGGCCTCGATGATACTGCCCTGGACCTGGCAGCAGATGGTATGGTAGATGAGATTCTGGAGGCAGGAAGTGGTCACTTGGCCCTACCTCCTCTAGTCCTGTTGCTCCTGGCTCCTCAAAAGCCTCTGGCTGTGAAGGCTGTCCCCCATACATTGCTCCTCCAGATGGGAACAGCCCTTCAGCTCCCTGAGGCTGTTCCTCTGATAAGTCAGTCTCCTCATCGGAGATCACAATAGCTTCTACTTTCACCTGGACAAGTTCAGCTTCAGCTGGGGCCGGAGCAGGGGGTGGAACTGGGGCTGGGGGATAGAAACCCTGCAATGGTCCTACAGTATCCCTAGGTTCCACCACCCTCAGACTCTCAGGAACCACATCAAGAGGAGCCAAGGGCTCCACGGAAACTGCTGGAAGGCCAGAAGAGAAGTAGTTTACAGGAATAGTCTCTGTAGAACTACTGGGGCTGGCAAGAGAGACAGACACATCAGCCACTGATGGAAGGGGTGCCCGAAGATGAGATGAGTCAACTTCCATGCTCGGTTGTGTAGTGTCAGCCCCACCAGACACTGGTGGCTCATCTGCAGGATGAGCAATAGGTAAGGGAGTGGCTGGACCCTTCCATTCCTCTTTGCTCCAGCGGGCTGAAGGCTCCACAGATGCCAGTAAAGGCTGGGGTCCTCGAGAACTGCCTGACAAAAACTCCAAACTAGCAGGATTGCTTTCCTCTTCCTTCTTGGTACTGTCTGCCTCTGCCAGAGCCCGGGCTTGCAACCGTTGCTTACACACCTTAACGATATCATTCATGTGCAAGTAGCTGGCAGCTGCCAGAACATCTTCTAAAGGGGTGTCCCCTCTAAGGGCCAGCTGACCAGCATACATAAAGTCCAGAAGCAAACCAAAGGCTGGGGCAGTGACAATCTCATTGTGAATACACACCAGATCCCTCTTGTCCAATTCCCGCTCCTTGTAGAAAAGCTGAAAGAACGGGCTGCAGGAGGCCAGGACAGCCCGATGGGCCAAGAACTGGGTGCTACCAACCATCACAGTGCAGTCACAAAGGAAACCCTGGGACCGTTGCTCTCGCAGGCTCTGAAGCAGCTGCTGACTGTGTTCTGGGAACTCCATAGCACCCTAAGGAAAGAAGGGTGCCCAAGGAAGTTCCCCACCAGTGGTTCCCTAGGAAGAAAGGACAGTGAATTAGGGCAGGTAACTTCCACAGCAAGCGCCGCATCAGCCCTTAACTAGGGCTTGCCACCCAAGGCCTCTGGCAATGCACGACTCCCCCACCCCCACCAAACCATGTTTTCAGTTAACAACCCATTTTCCCCTGTCACACCCAAAGACCTGTTGGCTCCGCCCCTACACCTAACCTTAGGAGTCGTCCCCGCCCCTATTCGAAAAAGCCCTGCCCCCGGAAGTCCCGCCCCTAACCAGCTCTGCTTCCTCGATTCCCAGCCGGTGCCTTCCAGTGACTCCTCCAACTAGGACTGTCTTTCGCGCCCAAGCTTTCCCGAACGATGCCTTCACGCCCTGGTCTCGGAACTTTCCGCGCCTCTCCCTCTCGCATTCCAGAGCTAGGGACTCCCAACGTAGGAACTAGCAGAGAAAGCTGAGCCCTCACCCACAACCTAGCAGCCACCAGAAGAGCTCCGCCCCTTCCCACCTTCGCTGTCCTAATTGGTTCAAGCTTGCTCTTTCTCGTCGTGGATTGGTCCACCGTGCACTACCCCGCCCCTCGGCAACCGGCTGCTCCAAATGGGCAATCCCTGCCATCGCTCAGGCGTCGAGGCTCACAATTGGTTGTTGCTCCTGTCTTAAACTTTTTTTTCTTATCCCGCCTTCTTTGCCCCAGAGCCCTCAGGATTGGCCGAACTTCTTACCTATTTTCCGTAGAGAAATTACGGGCCTGGGTGGGCGCGCGAGTTTGGCTCCTGCGCAGTGTGTTCGAGAGTAAATACCCAATTTCGGCTGCGGAGTACCTAAAAGTAGAGACACAGTAACTTGTCTGATACCCTGTAGGCTCAGGTCTAGACCAGGCTCTGCCGAAACAGTGAGCAGTAAACCACACTTCTCAAAAGTGTAGTTCACTCTTGCAGATCCTGTTCTCAAAAAATCCAGGAAGCTCCACTACCAGACTCAGTAGAACTTCCACTTAAACTTACAACGTAAGTGTTACAGTGAAGATGGCTGCTTCTAGGCAAGTGATATTAAGAACAGGAGTGGGACAGTCTATGAATATCTATCTCTGTTGTTAAAATCTCTTTCCTAAGATCCCAATGATAAACCAAGGTATTATGCCACCAAAGTTCACCCTTGGAAGAGTGAGAGACGGGAGGGGGTAGGGGAAGGAAGACAGAGAGAGCCCATAGTGGAGGGGTTACTTAGAGGAGTGTGGATGAGCCATCTTAGAAGGCCCCTTCTGAAAATGTTTACCCAGCATAGTTTTCTTTTAGCCATATCGATGGAGCCCTCTCCCCTTGTCATTTTCCACCTATATAGTCTATCACACACACACCCAGGAGATGATCCCGGGACCTTGTGCAATTAGGGAAGAATTGAATACAACTGTTTGAGGGGAGTGGCTGGACCTCATGACCTTCCACAGCCCCTCTTCATATAAGGGAAAGTCAAGAGTCAGCAAGCTCACCTGACACTTTTTTTTTTTCCGCCTGCACACCCAGCTGAAGTCCTGAAGATAATGGTAGTTTGCCTCTGAGGATAGTTCTGTACGGTCCTATAATCCATATGTGGTAGCTGGCTTCTGGTATGAACTTTTAATCCCAGCACCTGGGGAAGCAGAGATCTCTGTGAATTCAAAGTCAACTTGGTCAACACAGTGATTTCCAGGCCAGCCAGAGCTGAATGGTGGGCCCCTCAAAATAAACAGTTCCAAGACATAAGGTATTTCTCAATGTACCTTCTTTTTGCTTGAAAGGGTATCCCCATGTAGCCCTGGAACTTGGAGTGCTCCTTTCTCTGTCTCATCTGCTGGAGCTGTAGGCAGATACCATTACAGCTGTCAAAGATGGCTGAAGAAACCTCCCCTGCCCCTTTTTAAGGCAGGGTCTTACTTAGCACAGGTTGTCCTCATATTTGTTGTTGTAGCCAAGAATAACCTTGCACTCCTGATCTTCTTTCTACCATCTGAGTCCTGGGAATTTGAGTATTCATAAACAACAAGCAACCTGAATAAATGTTTAAGAGTGTCTAGGCAGATGGAAAGGGCTGTAAAGTAGGGTGATGGCTGTCTCTTGCCTGCGAATTACAAAAGGTTTTCAGGAGTGTGTCAGTACCCTGTCACTCCATAGCACGCACCAATTTGTGACATGTGGTCCCAGGACTTTAAAAACAAAGGCAGGAGAATTGTCAAGCTTAGGGCAAGCCTACTTCACAAAGCAAATTCCCTCCATCTGTGGTTGCATAAGACTGTGTCCCCCAAATAGAAAAAATTGACAGTAAACACAGTGCATACCTACATAAGTAAGTTTGCTTGCTTGTTTGTTTTTGTTTCTCAAGACAGGGTTTCTCTATGTAGTTCTAGATCTCCTGGAACTCACTCTGTAGACCAGGTTGGCCTTGAACTCAGAGAGCCACTTGCCTTTGCCTCCCATATAATCTTCTGGGATTATAGACATAGCCACCACCACCCAGCAATTTATTTTACTTTTAATTATGTGTACTTAATTATATACATCATCTGTGTGTGAGTATGAGCCCATGAGTGCTGATGCCTTCTGAGGCTTCCAGAGGGTTTCAGGTCTCCTTACAGCTGGAGTTGTGAGACCCTGGATATGGGTGCTAGGAACTGAACTCAGGTCCTCTGCAAGAGCTGTATGCAGTGTTTAATCTTTGTTTTTATTTTATATGTATGGGTGTTCTGCTTGCATCTAAGTCTGTTCATCACAAGGGAGCAGTGCCCATGGAGGCCAGACAGGGCATTGGATATCCTAGGGCTGAAGGTGTAAAGGTTTGAGTCATCATGTTTGTGCCAGGAATCATTCCTGGATCCTTTGGAAGAGCAACAAGGGACCTTAACTGCTGAGCAGTCTCCCCAGCTATCTAATCTACATTTTGTTTTGCCTGCATGTATGTCTGTGCACCATTCATTTGCAGTGCTGAAGAAAGCCAGAAGAGGGTGTCAGTTCCCCCTGAACTGGAGTTAGTTACAGAAGATTGTGAGCCACTTTGCAAGAGCTGAGAATTGCTCTGGGGACTCCTCTGCAAGAACAGCAAGTCCTCTTAAGCACTGAGCCATTTCTTCAGCCCCTAAAATAAAGTTTTAAAATGTAAGGTTTTTTTTTTTCTGTTTGTTTTTAGTGTGCTTAAATATTTTACAGGATTTTCACACACAGCCCTGGTTGTCCAGGAACTCATTATGTAGATGAAGCTAGCACACTCAGAGATCAGTGTTTCCTCAGCTGGGTATAAGGGCATGTGGTACCAACCCAGGCGTACAACAAACTCTTTTTTGTTTGTTTGTTTGTTTGTTTGTTTGTTTGTTTTTCGAAATAGGGTTTCTCTAGGTAGCCGTGGATGTCAAGGCTGGAACTTGTTAAACGTGGGTCGGAAGTCTGAACGCTGACAGGCAGGTCTGAAAGGCGGGGCTTCGTGGATCCCCGCCCATGACGTTAAAGCTCAATAAGATTCCCCGGAAGCAATCGTAGAGCGTAAGTGCTTCCTGTGAGGTCCCCACGAGTGGAGTTCTGTTCTCTGCGGGCCAAGCTCTACGGAAGATGTTTTATCACGTGAGCTGGACGTGGGGTGGCGGTGAGGGCAGGGGCAGGAGGAGCACTGAGGCCAAGGGCGTACTAGTCGCCTCCCGTCTTCAGGGCGGCTGGTGGAGTCTCCATCTCCCCTTCTCTGCAGATTTCCCTAGAGCACGAGATCCTGCTGCACCCTCGCTACTTCGGTCCTAACTTACTCAACACGGTGAAGCAGAAGCTCTTCACCGAGGTGGAGGGGACCTGCACTGGCAAGTGAGTGTCTCGCTCACCGTGTGGTCTGCTGAATGCACCCACAATGACCCTCACCCTAATCTCTACCCGGCTCCTCTTGTTAGGGCTTGTCGCTCATCCTGAGGAACCCTTTCACTTTTCAGGCTCCCGAGGCAGCCAGTTTTTGCCTGTTTCGGTCCCTCTGCAAAGTTGAATAACAAAATTTCCATTCTTTGTGTGAAATCAGACCGTTATGCAGATGTTTTTGGTTTTTGAGATGGCCTCACTATGTGGACCAGGCTGGACTCTAACTCAAGAGATCTGCCTGCCCCCGAGTGCAGGGATTAAAGGCCCTGGTCACAACTCCCTGCCTCATTTGTGGTTTTTGAAAGACCTGTCTCACCATGTTGTCTCAGGCTGGCCTTCAACTCTGTCTGACCATCCTGGCTCAGCTGACTTGGTGCTAAGATAATAGATGTATGTCAGCATATCTGGACCTTCTTGGGCATTTACTGTACAATTATGATGGCATCATTTGATCTTACAGGTATTGATCTGTGTCCTGTCCTTTTGGTCACTGAGATTTCTGAGCAGCGCTCCCCCCAACACACACACACTCCTGTTGATGGCTTTATGCTGAAGCTCTACATATACAATAGCTGTCTTGTTTCATTCTCTTTGCAGATACGGCTTTGTAATTGCTGTCACCACCATCGACAATATTGGTGCTGGTGTGATCCAGCCAGGTCGAGGTTTTGTTCTTTATCCAGTGAAGTACAAGGCTATTGTTTTCCGGCCCTTTAAAGGTGAGGTGGTGGATGCTGTGGTCACTCAGGTCAACAAGGTAAGAACATTTACAGAAAGGTTGTGGGGTGGTTCCTAATCTCAGGGCTCAGTCCCCAGTCCATTTACTAATTGCCTTAAGTCTTTTGTTGTTGTTAAGATTTGTTTTTACCAACCAAGGACTATTCATGTAGATAACCTAGAACCCCTGCACAGATGTAGCACATGACAGTTCAGTGTCCAAGTGGGTTCCATAGTAATGGGAAGAGGGACTGCCTCTGACATAATCTGATTGGCCTGCTCATTGATCACCTCCCCCTGAGGAGGGAGCAGCCTTACCAGGCCACAGAAGATGACAATACAGCCACTCCTGATGAGATCTGATAGACTAAGATCAGAAGGAAGGAGAAGCAGACCTCCCCTATCAGTGGACGTGGGGAGGGGCATGCCTGAAGAAGGGGGAGGGAGGGTGGGATCGGGAGGGGGAGGAGGGAGGGGCTTACGGGGGGGATACAAAGTGAATAAAGTGTTACTAATAATAATAAAAAAATAAATAAAGATTTGTTTTTATTTTATCCTATTTTTGTTTTATTTGAGACAGGGATTTTCTGTGTAGCCTTGGCTGTCCTGGAACTCACTCTGTAGACCAGGCTTGTCTCAAACTCAGAGATCCATCTGCCTTTGCCTCTCCTGAGTGCTGGGATTAAAGACATGAGCCACCACCGTCCAGCACTTTATTTTATTTTTAATTATGTGTACTTGTGTGTTATTGTGTGACTACGAGCCCATGAGTGCTGGTACTGTCTGAGGCTTCAAGAGGGTTTCAGGTCTCTTTGCAGCTGGAGTTGTGAGATCCTGGATACAGGAGCAAGGAACTGAACTCGGGTCCTCTGCAAGATTATTTACTCTTTTTTTTTTTTTTTAA